CTAGAAACTTTGTGATCCATTCTTAACTATTTAGGTTTCCTTCTGACCCTGAGGGTTGCTATTGCAGTCCAGTCATAGGCTACATTTTGGGTTGCTCTGATTTAGTTTAATAGAGAGTCCCACATGGACCACAGTCCTTGTATTCTGATGATGCCTCTTAAATGGCTTTAGTTTGAACAGAAGTTGGGAAGGGCTTCCGCCTAGGGTTATTAGCTTATAGAAAAACTCATATATATTGTGCTTTTTTTTTTTTTTTTTTGTGGGTGAGTTTTAAGTTCGAGAATCAGTAGTGATGAGATTGCTTATCTTATTTCTTTCTAACCCTATTAAAGAGATTAATCTTGTAGGGCAGTGTAAAAAATCTTACGTGTATACAAATGAATCCAACAATCTTTATGTTTTTTGGTTGGTTGGGAGGGGGAAGGTGGGGGGGGTTGTTGGGTTGTGGGATTTGAAGATTGAAATAAGAAGTTTCTTTGAAAGCAGAAGCAGCCAGAAGAGCGTTCTTTTAAGACTTTGAAGGTCTTTATCTTCTGTTACTCCATCTTGGCAGACCCGTCAAAACGTATTCGCAAGTTATACACAAACTTGACTCAATACAAGTCTAAATATAAACAATTGTGAATGGGTCCTCCACCTAATAAAGAGTTTCAACGTGCACTGTATGCACATTGTCCTACAAATAGAAAGACGACTAGCTAGCATGGTGACAAAGATTAAACCATGTGCTGGATTCAAATACTAAGCTGACTTTCAAGGCGTTCCTGACCCACTTTGTAAGGTTGTATGGGTCATATGTCGGCGACTATAATAACAGTGAATGTCCATGATCTTACCTTCTACTTTCTTTGTTTGTGCTTTGCCCTTACACCATTCCATAGTTTTGCAGTTGTTGAAATAAGGGAAACTACTCTGCACTTTCATCGTCCCGTCAGTGTGTCATTGCCCAGGACACTCAACAATGAGAATATAAAACGACCGAGACCAAGAGATTTCTCACTTGAGAAATATTGAATTGCTTGTATCTTCTAGATATAATAATGAGTCTGAATTTTCTAATGCCAACAATGTTCGACATTTAGGAACCATGGTTCAAGGTGGCAGTATTAATTATTTGACCTAAGGGGCTCTAAGACGCATTAGTTACGATATTGTAGACTGGTACAACCAAAATTTTTTTTTGCATACGATAAAGAGATTCATGCTGAAATGTGGGATTGCGGAATGATATTAACCGATTCGATGATAATAACTCATTGAATCGAGTTTACTCGGAGACATCTCAAACAACGTGACCGAGTCATGTGACATATATATGTAAAGTGAAATAGTATTGGATCTTAAGATGCCTATAACGATACGATTTGACTAACTCATATTATTTGTATTGGTTGATATTTTGACCTATGTTATGAACTCTTAGATCAACTTCTAGTTATTAGAGATATGAGACTACAAATTTCTATTTTGTGTTTTGTTTTATTATAAGTTCCTAATTTGATCAGTTAATTACTCAAAGACCCATTATTTATCAGTTAACAAATCACTTATAGAAGTAATTAATTCAGTATACAACCAAGGCATAAGGGGCTGTCATTTGATTGGGAGTGGAAAAGAATGTTAATTAATTGCAAGAATCAACCTCTAAAAAGAAACCATTCATGTAACTGTGTGTTACTTTTATTTTTTTAACGTGCAGAGTGTTCGGACTAGTTTACGTGTACTTAAATTAATCTTATTTTCAGTTTGGTTAAAGACAAATCATCCACACCAGAACTAAGATATTCATAAAAATAAATCTCTCATGACTTGATCCCAAGAAATTTTGAACTCTTGACATTTGATTCTACAGTTAATTTCTGTTACCATTTGAGTTATTTATTGGGGTTGATATGTGTGTTTCTTTTACCTTATCGGTGCATCGACACAAACTATAGTAGATCTACGGATCAAATTAATCCGATAAGGTAGTTCGAATGATAAGATTTTAGTTATAACATCTCTAGATTCTAAATTTGAATTTCACAAAATATGTATGGGAAAAATAAGGACCAAATTTGTCCAAATAGGTCACTGCGATGCATTGTTGGCAACTTTTTAGTATATTTTGTTTATAAGTTTTTTGGATTGGCAATTTCGTGAGTAGGATTTTCCATTTGTTGCACCTGAAATAATGGAGTACTCTTGGTTATCAAGGATATGAATTTTATTATTTGTTTCCTTACCCATAAGACTAAGATAGTCTGCTGAAGAACAATTTTCACCGACTATGACATTTCAACGAACAGATGGAGTGCGATTAATTTTGATGATGAAGCATCAACAACCACGTCCATTTGAATAGCCATCACCGCGGGACCTCACTCAACCCTTAGCCATCTGTTTCAGCATTCATTCCCAATCAATTCTCTCTATTGACTATCCAAGTTTGAAACTGAGGGGTACTCTTTCCCGTACAACCACCACTATTGGGATTCTATCATTCTACACATTCTCTTTTTCTCAATTTTCTGAATTATATGTCATTTTCCACGCCTAATTTTATCATAGATACAAACAGATTGTTTTTGCGACTCAAATCTTAACAATTTTACCATTGCAAAGAAGGATTTAGTGCACAAGCTTTTAGTTTCCCACTCCGTACCCACTTCAAAAGCTAAAACCACAAACTGTTTTTTTTTGGTTAGTCACTATTACACAAAAGAGATGATGAAATTCAAACTTATTATTTTAAGGTCTAATAGGGGAGACATTGATTATTATGTCAAACACTAACTTCAATAATCTATAAAGGTGGGTGAGTAACTATGATGACTAAATATTCGAATTTGTAAAAGTAATTACATAAGATTGCAAAAAAAAATAAAAATTGAACCAATAGTATGCTTCTCCTCGTAACTTGAGCCTAAAGCATGAGAGAGAAAGGATAGGTGTCCCCATGCCAAAAGTCTAGAAAAACAACAAAATTTGCAGTCTAGAACCTCAGTCTGAATCCAACACACTTCCCTTTGAAAATACCCAAGTGGCCCTGCAGTCCGGCCAGCCGTCCAACTGTGCCCCTCCCATTCATTTATTAGAATAATATTACTGATAAATAATGAAATAAATAAAAAGAATCAAATTAATACAATGTTGGTATGGAGAAACTCCTTTATCTTATTTTTATTCATTTAAAATTTAAATTTTACTCACTTTGACAATAATTCATAATTAAGATTTTATTTTTGGTTCATTATTGTGGTCAGTATAACATTACCCTGTTTACTAATAATGTGTTTTTAAACATCAAACTTAAAACTTCATGGTTAATCTCATGTTGTTAAATTATTGGTGATTGTGGCTCACTCTTAAAAAACACGTTCTCGACCAAAGAAAATCTTTAAGATTGACAATTTCAGATACAATGTATAAATACAATTCGAAATTAACGAGTTAGAATTGACAATTTTTCAACACGAATTTATAAATTTTATTAACATGAATAATAAATGAGTTGGGTTAGTGTCAAACATGAATAATACAATTTTTTTCATATGATCAACACCTTTAACTAATGTAATTGGAATAAAATGCCAAAATTTTGTTATTTTTTTTTCAAGTATCGACATAATCTTTTTGTAAAAAGAGGATTTATTTATTATTTTTATTAAATTAATTTTTAGTTTGAGAAAAAATATGAGTGTAAGTTTGATTTGATGATAATGAAGTATTAAACTTAAATCTTAATATTAAATTTTTTATTTATAAGTCAACACAAATATAATACGAAAATAAATAAATCGAGCAACACTATGTAATTAATTAAATATAGATTGACTAATACTTGGCATAAAATTATAAAAAAAATTATTATTTAAATTTAAAAATTTAACTAATTTATTGATCTAATAATATAATTTTATTAAAAGTCACCGTTACCACCGCACCAAAAAAAAAAAAGCCTTCTAACTCAATTAAACTCTCTCTCTCTCTCTCTCTCTCTCTCTCTCTCTCTCTCTCTCTCTCTCTCACTATAAAACCCATTGTCTTCTCCCATTTCCAAATCTAAAGTGTGCCACAGCATGTCAAAACGATTCCTCTCTCTCCTCCTTTCCTACCTTGTAATTGTATGCCTCCTTTTAACCATCACAATCGCCAACACCGCAACTGCCATTGCCATACCCACTGCCACAATCTCACAGCCATTCAGACAAGCCCCAAAATTCTACAACTCCCCACAATGCCCTTCCCTCACCGACACAGACACAGAAACCAACAATGGCGACACCGACGACACCTTCTGCTCTGACAACGCCATCCACGTTGCGATGACCCTCGACACCGCCTACATCCGCGGCTCCATGGCGGCGATCCTCTCCGTTCTTCACCACTCTTCCTGCCCTCAAAACATCGTCTTCCACTTCGTCATTTCCGCTTCCGCCAACGCATCAATCCTACACGCCACCATCGCCACCTCCTTCCCGTACCTCAACTTTCACCTCTACACCTTGGACGACACCGCCGTCGCCGGCTTAATATCCACCTCCATTCGCTCCGCCCTTGACTGCCCTCTCAACTATGCTCGCAGCTACTTAGCCAAGCTTTTACCTCTTTGTGTCAACAAAATAGTTTACCTCGACTCCGACCTCGTTCTCGTCGACGACATTGCCAAACTCGTCGCCACCCCTCTCGACGACGACAGAGTTTTAGCTGCACCCGAGTACTGCAATGCCAACTTCACCTCCTATTTTACTCCGACCTTCTGGTCAAACCCTTCTCTATCATTAACCTTCGCAAATCGTAAAGCTTGTTATTTTAACACAGGTGTTATGGTGATCGATCTTGATCGATGGAGAGAGGGTGACTATACGACCAAAATAGAAGAATGGATGGAGCTCCAGAAGAGAATGAGGATTTATGAACTTGGTTCATTGCCACCATTTTTGCTTGTTTTCGCCGGAAAGATAGCTCCGGTGGAATCAACATGGTCTTGGGGGAGATAATTTTCGCGGGCTTTGCCGGGATTTACATCTGGGTCCGGTGAGTCTTTTGCATTGGAGTGGGAAAGGTAAACCATGGGCTCGACTTGACGCAAACAGGCCATGCCCGTTGGATGCTCTGTGGGCTCCTTATGATCTCTTGAAGCCACCATTCTCGTTTGATTCTTGAAGGAACATATCAAAACTGTGCTTGAAGGAACAGATCTCTCTCTCTCTCTCCTGAACAAATAAGAGGAAGGAGACGACAGGTTGTGAAGAAGGAAAGGGCAAACCTGAAATAAAGCCACTGGCTCTGCATGTGTACAGACTGTAAGAATGGTGATGATGAAGCCGAAGGTCTCATGATTCTCATCAGTTATTATATTAATAAAAAGAAGGATAGGGGATTTTCTTTCTTTGTAAATTTTGTTCAGATCTCTTCGGGTTGAATTTAGTATGTCTAGGTTTGTATTTCATCATTGTCTCTATTATACTATACCTTGGAATTATTTAATAATAATAAGAATAATCTAATTTATGAATTTTACTACTAATTCATGGGGGTGTTTTGAGCACTTTTTGTTATCTAGATTTTTCATTTGTTTATTGATGGATAGAGGTTCTTTGTGCAAGTTGTTTTGGTGGACATCAAATATCAAAACAATGTCCTAAAGGTGAAAAGAAACAGCTACGCCTAACCCAACAATCAAATTTTGATGAAACAGACTTATATTAAAAATAGTGATCAAATAAACACTCTCCATTACTCATTTATTTTTTTTGTAATTAAATGATTTAACTTTTTTAGCACAATATATACTTTTATCACAAAAGTGTTCTCAAATGGCCTGTCTTTTTCATTCTAAAATTTGCCTAGGAATTTAAAGTTCATGGCTTGAAAAAGAAGTAGGATTAGTTCAAGCGGTAATAGCCTTAATAAATTTATATTTTAACCTAAATAAATTCAACTGTAATAACCAAGCAGTTTATAAAGAAAGACTTACAGCTGGGTAATAACCAAACGTCTTCCAAGTAACCAAGTTCCAATCATACTAAACTTATCAGTGCCAGCTATTTTTGTCAGTGCCTTTGACTTTTCTGCCTTTTATCTTTTTTAGGTCCATGATATCTACTATTATTTTAAATATTTTTTTAGTTGAGTCTAGGGACACCAATCTTATTCCTTTAATCATCCCTCTCCCTCTTCCTCTCCACAGACGTGGTACTTTGTACTCTGCACTTTAAACGATAAAAAGTCATAATCCCATCAATCAGTTGGTCCACTTTCTAAGAATTTAAATTTCTCCGTTTAATATTAATATTTGAGTTTGAGTCTCTACGATTATGATAATTCTGTGAGATTAAACATACTTTTCAACATTTAGAGCACACGATAAGACTTTAACATCAACTCCAGGACGTAAGTGCAATGAGACTTCCCCCAACTAGTTGTATGGTGTACTGTAATATAATACTCTCTATCGGATATGTATAATAACTTATTTGCATATTGATTTAAGTACCAAATTAAAAGATATAAGTCTACCGTCCATCATTTATAAAATGTTTTAACCTAATTTGTTGATCTAATGGTAGAGTTCACTATTAACCTCCAATGATAAAGAGTGATTAAATCAATAAATAAGTCTTCCTTAATTTAATGTAAAACCAGACAGAAACAAATTCCTTTCCTGTCAATTTACAAAGCTAAGGCCAATTCAACCCCCGTTTTCCCTTCCCTACTGTCTTTTAACTAGGTTTTTATAAATGTGACCTAAGCATGCATGCATGCATGCCAAGGGTGGATCTAGGGGGTGTCATTGTCCTATTCTTACAATTCATCCAAACATGTATCTTAGGACTGTAGTCTTCCCTATTAATGATTCTAATTTTGTTAGATCATAGTTTTTCATAGACTCGGATTTGAATATCTAATCCGATTCGCAAAATTGGTGAATTGAGTGGTCAGTTGATGAGAATGAATTGAAATATGTAAGTAATCAGTAAACATTCGCCACAAATTGAATTCTTAGATCAAATCCGAATACACAAACCAGACAAAAAATAAAAATGATTGCGACGGGCCACTAAATTAAAAACAAAGATTATTTCTATGTTTGTCTTTACTGTACTCTTAAAACAGAAGTCAAAGAAAATGCACACAAAACTATAAGCCGGCGGGCGGGCCATGCAAATGCCAGTTAACTTCCACTTGGAGAGTAATGCAACGAAGAGGTGTGGTTTAGTGGTGCTTAGCGTGCCGCGCTGTGGCCTCAAAAAATTATAGGGCTTTCAGTTCTGAGATTATTACTAGTTCGTTCATCGAGGAATTCTTTCTTTTTCTCTTAACGCTTCTTGGCAGAACAGCCAAAAACATAACAATTATTTGTTTGCAAGATCCTAGTGACTTGGTTGACTATCATAATCTAACATTGTCGGTTGTGCTTGTTAATTTCATAATTAACCTATTATATATAATTTTTTTCGGGTTTTATTCCTTTTTTTGGGGTGCTCGACAGATAAAATACTCTCAAACAAGTAGCTTTAAAGGATTTTAGTGGCATAACCCAGGATTTTAATTAAAAAATAAAAAACTGTAGGGGACTAACTAAGGAATTTTTTTTTTAAAAAAATAGAGGCTAAAAAGACAAGTACATGTCTATAACTTCCCACCCAAATCAATTTTTTCTATGTGCTCCTCATTTTCTTCCTTTCAACATCAAAATGAATGAAACTTTAAGCTGCAACTTGTTAGATAAAGTATACCCATCTCCAAAGGCCTCAAGGAAGAAGAAGAAGACACCCTCGCCCCTAGAGGTGGTTGAAACTAGAACAAAAGTTTTAAAGACATTAAAGACACGATCACGATAATTCCTTTTTTAAAGTCTACATGAATTCAAGGTGATAGAGAAATGTCTATTGGCTTTATTCTTCATGTCACTTTCGTGGGGTTACAGATTTTTATTTTATAGATCAAACAAACTTGGAGACAAAGACCTGCTTGGTCTAGAGAGGACAATTTGTGGCCTTATATCCACTAACTAAATGGTTTTGATTAAAAAGAAGGATCAAACATTCTATTGATGATGATGATTAGGGTAGTCAATGGGTCCTGTTGTTATGTTGAGTTCATGTTGTGTTTAAGTCAGGCTGTGTCAAAATTGCTCAACCCAAGTCAATGTGGATAGTGTTGTGTCAAGTTTGTGTCGTGTCCAAGTCTTGTTGCATCAAAATTGTTCAACCCATTGCCGACCCATTTATGTTCATATATACTTTATATTTGTGGCGTGTCAAGTTTGTGGATTTAATCAGGTTCATATCAAGCTATTTATTTGACGGGTCAACCAAACACACTAATTCTGTGTAAATTTCGTATCAGTTTTGCGAATGGTGTCTGAAATTGTCAGATTTAGACCGAAATGTACTGATGCTAATGGTTTAGATTGGATGTCAACAATGTACCTGGAAGCTCAATCAACCAGTATCAGACAAAAATATTGTCAGTTGTACAAGCCTTTAAAAGGTTCATTTTTACTGTTAGATTCTGTTGTGGCCTTATTTCTGGAGAAGAATTGGTAATATCTTTACAAAAAAAAAATGACTGTAGAGCGAAGTTGCACCTGTCACGGGCTTCGCATGAGGCAGGTGTGGCCATGCAAGGTGCTGATTCGAGCAAACGGATTCCTATAGCTTAGCCAAGTAGATAAAATTATGGCTTGCTGAGTTGCAATACAGAAATACAATCTGGTGAGCATGCCAAACACCGTCTATTTGATGGACAAATATGTCTGTCCGACGAGAATGTAATTTGTACAGAAGCAGCAGAGCAAGGACCTGCGAGAAGAATACAACTGTGTGAAAATTCAGGGCAGTTTAATGAAACAATAGAAGTGCAATCCCCAGTATAAAACCACAGGTAGTCCCAAGGAACATGACTCAGCTAAGATTGAAATTCGTTTATATTGCAAGGCTAAGTAAACCAGCGACTAAGGGGTGACAAATAAAACTGGAAGGGTGTTCCCATGAACTCAGCCAATAGTCCCATTGATGATCAACTGATTTCCACCATAAAGCGCATATAAGAATTCGAAGTGCTACATAACTCTCTGAAGAGAGGGAGGGGAAAAATCTTTCTCAAGGAATGGGTCATCTATAATTCTTTCTTTTTGATGTGCAAGTAAATCCACCAAAACTTCCAAAAAAAGAAGAAGGGGGGGGGGGGGGGGAGGGTAATCTACTACTTGAAGAACAACAGACAAATACAAGACAAAAAAAGCAAAGCGAGAACCACAGATAAATTGTAACACAAAACTACTACTGAAACCAACAAATAGAAGAAGCAACGAAAGGTTGCACCAAGGATACTTGCACCAAACTACGGAGGAAACAATGGTTTTAAGAGCAGCACACATATGTTAAAAATTAGAAGTTAAAACTAATCCAGTAAAATCTCACCTTCAAACAGTCCTTAGGTTCAAATGTATGGTTGTTTTCATCATTGGTCCCACTCATTCATATTAATGGCTTTCGGGAATATGCCTGCCACTGAAGGCTTTCAATGGTCAATCATCGACCAAGAAACACTCAGATGGTCGAGATCATAATTCGATGAGAAATAAACCTGATGAGCCACATCCTGCACCAGGAACTCAATATCATATGGAAGTACTCATAAATAAAAGAAAGTTATATCAGCACCAAAAATGCAAATTACCTGGGCTCTGTAGATGACATTAAAGCACGTGTGGTCAGTATTAATATGGAATTCAAACCCCACAATGTGCATTACTGCACGCTCAAGAGCACAAGCAATGACCAGACTTCCTCGATTGGCAGAAAATTTGTCAGGGAAAATTGGTTGGATCACTGAGCTGCATCAACAAACAACTGCAAACAGGTTACTTGCATCAAGATGTCCTGTATAGCCTGAGGCTTCTGTCGACTCTGTCCCTTGATAAATTCTGCCAGAAGAAAGGCTACAGTTATTCGGAACATTATGAAGACTGGACATCTTTTCTATGTCTCCATTTTTAATGTATCCTTGCACCGATGTGTAGTGTGTCATAAGGTTAGGGTCCACACCAGTTTTCATCATTCGAGACAAAAGCTTCGTAGATTCTTTGATATCACCTAGCTTACAAAGGCCATTGATTAGAGCAGAGTAGGTCACGACTGAAGCAGTGATCCCTTTTTCTCTCATTTTCTCTTCCAGTTTAAGGGCCTCATCAATATTGCCACTCTTACAGTATCCATCAATCAATGTATTATAGGTTACAACATTAGGAGTTAAACCTTTTGAGTGCAGTTTATGGAAAAGCCTCAGTGCTCGAGTAAGGTTTCCTGATTTACAAAGCCCATTTATAAGAGCATTGTATATACTGATACTTGGAACAATACCCTTCTTCAACATCTCATCCCGTAACGCAAAAGCTTCATCAACATTACCAGCAACTGAAAAACCATGGATTAGGGTACAGTATGTAAAATTATCTGGAGTAAAGCCCCTCAGTAGCAAAGCAGATATAAGTTTTCTTGCTTCGTCTACCTTCCCAAATTTGCATATGGCTGATATAGCTACATTGTAAACAACATTGTTGGGTAGAAGAAAGCTTTTTGCACTTTCTTCAAGGGTATTTACAATTTTCTGAGCATCTACTGATCTAGTGTCAGAGTTGAGGAAACTGTCAGAAAAGTAATGGCCGGGAACAAAATCAAAATCCATTATCTTCTGCAACAGCATGTTTGCTTCGTCTATCCTACCAATCCTGTATAAGCCACTGACAATTGCGCTGCATATAATTATATTGGGAGCTAACCCCTTTTCTGTCATCTCAAAGTATAAATGGAAAGCTTTATCCATCATTCCTTCTCTGCACCAACCAGCAATGAGGGCTCCATAAGTAACAATGTTTGGGCTTAAACCCCTAATGTGCATCTCAGCAAGTAGATCTGTTACTTCGCTTGACTTTTTAGCCTTGAAGAGCGCACTAATAAGTGAGTTATACATTTCAATGGAACCAGGAATTGCTTCCCTTTCCATCACATCCTTAACTTTGAAAGCTTTTTCAATGTTCTCAACTTTACAATACCCATCACTTAGGGTCCTATAAGTTATTGCATCAGGTGGACAGCCGAGCTCCTTCATCTTGTTAAAAAGCTGCTCTGATTCAACCATTTTCCCCATCTTACACAATCCGTTAAGCATTGTATTGAAAGCAATCCTGCTTTTGGTGAAGCCCTTTGCTAGAACATGCTTCCATAACACTAAAGCCCCTTCAGAATCCCCCATTTTGAAAAGCCCGTCAAGCAGAGTACAATATCCAACCTCATTAGGAGCCAAGCCTCTATGTAACATCAAATGCCAAAGGTGCAATGCATTATTAATTGCACCAGTTTGACATAGACCTTTCAGAAGAGTATTATAAGTTACAATAGTCAGACCTACACCGTCACAGAGCATCTGGTCACAGAGCTTGAAAGCCGCAGTTATACAACCTTCCCTGCAGCACCCGTCCAGTAATGTATTGTAGCTATAAGAATCGGGCTTGAGGTTCCAATTATCCATACTCATTAAAACTCCCTCAGCTTTAACAATTTGACCAAGCTTGCAATACCCATTGATCATGGAATTGCAAATAAACAAATTCATCTTCAAGCCTAATCCCAACATCTCATCCTGAATCCTAGCAGCATCATCCATTTTGCCAATTCTACAATACCCATCAATTAACACTCCATAAGCATGCTCATCTACAACCAACTCCTCCTCCTTCATGCCTCGAAGCATGTCCTCCGCTTCTTCCAACTTCCCTTGCTTACAATGACCCTTAATCAACAATGTATACGTGACAACATTCCCTGAGACCCCTTTTTCATTCATTAACCTCAATACTCCTTCAGCTCCATTCACATCGCCCATATCAACAAACCCATTTACCAAGCAATGGTAAGTCACAATATTAGGCTCAAGACCCAATTTGTTCTCCATTTCTTCTACAAATTCTACAGCTTTACCCACTCTACCATGCTTGCAATACGCATTCACCATTATTGTACAAGTATACACATCCGGAACAATCCCAACTCTAATCATCTGATCATACACAGAAAAAACAGTATGAAATTCACCATTTTTAACTAATTTACTTAACAAACTATTGCAAGACCGCAAGCCCGGCACACGTCCACACTTACTCATATTGTCAAACACATATAATGCATTCTTTGTCAACCCCTTCTCTGCATAAATCTTCAATATCATATCAAAAACCGTCGGCGAAAATGAAAATTCTCTATAAACGCGAACCACTTCATCCCAGATGGAAGAAACTGAGTGCTTTCTTTTACTTAATTCAATGAGTTCATTCAAATACAACCTCGTTTCATCGAACATTCGAGCTCTGGACAGTATATGGACGATTTTGCAATAAGCTTTGACGTGTGGTCTATAAGTTTGTTGCTTTGAAGCCAATTTGAAGAAATGTAGAGAAGCGGTAGGGTTTAATTTGAGTTTTCGAAGAACGTCGTCAAGGAGGTCGTCAGAGAAATTGAAGGAGAGAGTGGCGATAGCGTCGAATCGTTGGAGGACTAGAAGGCGGCATATCCGATCGAGAATTTCGGGTCGGGTCAACTTGGATTGGTGCCGGAGGGGCTTCCATTGCAAGGATGGTGAGGTATGGATTGAGTTTCGGAGGTAAAGGAAAGAGATGAGTCGGGATGTGTACCTGAGCTTTGAGGGAATCATCATAATCATCAGATTTGTCATTGGTTCTCTCCTTAACGAGTCGGCGTCGGCCATTCAATCTGGAATTGAAGTCGCATTCGTCTCAGCTGTGTTTGGATCCATGGAAAAACTTTCCTGGAAAGTCTCGTTGATTCAGCGATCTGGATTGTCTGAGATTTTGAAACCTCAGTTGAACGAAACTCCCGTGCTCTTCTCATTTGATTTGAGTACAGTCTCTCACTAGTCTCCTCTGTTGCAGAACTAGTCTTGTCTTGTTGGTAGTTAACCTTTGTTTCGATTTCGAAGGTTGAAGACCCCTCGGTTATGGTAACGGGCCCGGTCATACTGGGGCCGAGGCTGCATGTGGGCTGTGATGTCGCCGGTCAATGGGCTGGGCTGGGCTGGCTATCCCACTGAATAAAAAAGAGCACTGAAGGGACTTTTTATTAGGCCCGCGGTAATGAGCCTCTTTTTGTTCAAACTTGATTCATTATTTTTATTTTGAGTAATTTAATTTAACATAATTTATTGACTTAATCACTCAAAATCATTTGATCGACATTAAGTCTTAGTATTCATTGGGATCCGCTATTAATTTAATGGTTGTTATAGATTAAGTAAGTAAATCATGTCAATAAATTAGGTTCCAATAATATTATTGTTTTATTTTTATTTTTATTTTTTGGCACTTTGTTTTCTTTTTTTTTTTTTTTAATGTTTTGTTTTCTTGGACCGGGTTATTTATTGCCTTTGAGCTAATGGGCCACCAAAGAGTTGTCATATGAAAATCAGGCCGGACTATTGCCCACTAAGTCGTGAGACTTTTCGAACCAAACCTATATGTCACGGGCCAAATGTTCAGTCTTACATTGACCACTGAAATTCCTAAATTAGTTAGATTATTAACTTCAGAAAATACCATAAATGCAAAGGATTATCTTAATAACAAGAAATTATCTAACAGGGAATTATATATCATTAATCTTTTTGATATGTATACACTTGAGGTTAGAGGTGTCAATTTTAACATATTACTCATTAATTTGCATAATCCCGTTTATAAATAAAAGGGTTGGGTAATATGATTCATTTTAATTAAACGGGTTAATATGAATTATAAATGGGTACTTATTGGGTTAAATATTTATCTTTTTATTAAATAACACAAGTAATAAAATTAAATAAATATACTAATATATCAAAAAATATACAAACGATTACATCAAAAAATACATACATATACACTAATACATCAAAATATACACACACTAGTACACAAAAAAACACACACACAAATACACCACTCCATGACTTGAGAGTTAATCCATGACCCACGGGTCGACCCATGACCCCCACGATTTGACCATGACCCGTATCCCATGACCCATGGGTTGACCATAACCCACGAACCAATTCATAGCCCACAATCGATCCCGACCCATTATGTGTGTGTTCTTTTTTTATTAAAAGTGTTTTAGTTTTTATGTTAGTATATGTGTGTATTTTTTATGCATTAGTATGTATATTTTTAGTGTATTAGTTTGTGTGTTTTAGTGTATTAGTGTGTGTATGTTTGTATTTTAGTGTACTACTAAAATGTGTGTGTGTTTTGGTGTACTAATGTCTCTATTAAGAATTTTAACTTTTTTATAAGTTAATCGATTTAACCCAATCCGTTATAAAACTCAACTCATTATAATCTATTTACTACGTGAGTGAAAAATTAATTAAATTTATTTTAGTCTAATCCAATTTAATCCAACACATAACCAATCCAATATACCCATTTGCCACCTTTACTTGAGGATATAATAATTTATGTATTAGGATTTGTATTTAACTATAATCAATTTTTATCTGCTGTTAAGCTATCAACTTTGATGGATCAGCTTGATTCTCATATATAATAAAAGCGCATCGGAGTAAAGATGATTACTCAATAGGATAAATATTAACAAAACCCCATTTCCAAAACGATTGCTAATACCCTACCACCACGCCTATCAAATAGGTTTTTTTGTCGATAGTGTATATATTTATTGTAATATTGATATATCTCCACTCGGGGTTTGAAATATTATGTAATATTGTTATATTTATATAATAAAGTAAAGTTGAATTTGAATTTTAGAATTAAAGAGAAGTTTAGATCGTTTTGAAATAAAATATAAATACATCCGACGGACAACGTAATTTTAACATAAACGACGGTTCAGATCATCTCATAAATATTAATCCAACAATTTACGTTAAATAATAAATTTTATTTTTTCGTCCAACAACATTTTTTTTTTTAATTATTAGGCCTTTTAACTTTCCTCCAAATCTCTCGTCTTCATTCCTTTATCACCACCGATCAAGCCCAAATTTTCTGACTCACGCTTCTCTCTCTCCTTTGAAACCTGTGCCTTTCAAAATCATTCCAAAAATCTCTCTCATTGAATCCATCTCAATCTCACTTCTGCCCAATCACGCAAATTTGAGTATGTGATATATTTAATTTCCAAATTTATCTATATCTGCAATCTGATTTCTCTCACAATCTCCACATTGTCTGCCCTAAACATCTCCTCCCCTCCTCTAATTTTCTTATCCCTCCCTACCCCTCTTCTTTTTCACTATTCTGTAACGCCAAATACAGAGTCCTCGCCCACCTTCTGTTCCCAGTGATTGCAACGTCACCACTATTCCCATCTATCAGCCGCCATCGCCAACAACAAATGGAATGCCAGCCAACGGCCACCATCTACTAGGTATGTCTTCCTCTTTCTCTTCTTCCCCTGTCTCTGTTCCTGTCCTTCCTCTACCTTCCCCCTCTCTCTCTCCCTCTTTGACACTCCACCTAACCTTACCATGGCCACATCGTCTCCATAACCCAACCCCATAGCCCAATCTCCCTCTGCCATCACCACCGTATACCTATCAGAGGCTCAACGTCCTTCCTCCCCAGCAACTGCCAACCACTATCACATCTTTTGTCATTGCCACTGCCTAACCTCCATCTCGTCTTTCCTCTCTACAGTCACAACTATGGCCCCATGGATGTTTGATGAAATGTCTCAATGACTGTCTTATATCTATTCTATTTAGTTTCTCTCTTTGGATTTAATTAGATGGTTCAATGATAAACATTTTGGATATGAATTTCAGTAGTGTTGTTTTCAAGGAATTTTTTTTTTGTCAGCGCTACGACGTCATAAGTGCATTGATTTCTATGACATTGTTATTGTTGTGAAAATAGGGAGTCAATTGGGCTTTACTTTACCACAACCATTGCTACTCTCTCTCTCCCCGATGGAATGTGATTTTTTCTTTTTCAAAATTATGGTTTCAGGTAAAGTTTTTATGATTCCATGTTTTCATGAAAATATTTTCTTATTTTTTTTTGATCTCATGTTTTTTCCTTATGTCATTGACGCTAATGAAATTGATAGTTTGTGAAGTTGATATTTTGTGTTGGATTTGCCTCTGTCTTATGTCGTTGGCTTTGTGTTTTTTTTTGTTCACCATTGATTGTATATTTTCTCATTCCCTTGGGGTACAACTGGATTCCAAGACAACAGTATTTGAAGGAGAGAATATGGGGATGAATTCATGGCTACAATTATGTTTGATTTGATGTAGTAATTCGGTTGCATTTTGTGTTTGGTGTGGAAGCTTTTTTTTTTTTGTTATTTGAATTAAATGGGTGGTGTGCATGTGTTTGTGTTTGTTTATGTGTGTGTTTTGGTTTTCTCTTTTGGGCCCTCTTTTTTTGGTCATTCTATAGCACATCATTGTGGATTTATATCAGCGGTTTATACTTAATTGTTAACTACTTAAGTTGCCACTTAACCTATTTTGTATGTCAAGTTACAATTATGTAGTGTTTGAGGTTTATCTTAGCGAGAAAGAGTGTTCATCTCTATGTCAATATGTTTTTGTGTGTGTCAAGGTCTGCGAGGGGGTGTGGGTAATCAACCTTTCTTGACCAACTATTACATTAAATATACAAGCAACATGTTTGCTTGCAATGGTGTTAAGAAATTGTCTCTTGAATAAGATATTGTCCATAACTTAACATTTTTAGTTCACCAGGCAAGAAAGAATATCTGAATTTGATATAGATACTGGAACTCATTTCTATTTGATTGACAAAGTTGTGAAGAACTAATTTTGTGTCAGGGTTAAACTCTCATATTGATCTGAATGTGCATTAGTGGATTAAAAAAATTGAGAGTTGTGACTGCTAAGAACTTGAGTGAAAGTAATACACTAAAGTTGAGTTTGATTATATATAGTTCTTTACTGTTTCTAAGCGGCATTTTTAATAATTTTAGTTTCTTAATTTCCTATTATGTGGAAATAGTTTGAAGAAACTTTTTATTACTATAACTCATGTGGTTTTTACTGAGGAACATAGATTATTTGCGTAGAATGCTTTTAATCGATGAAGATTTTAATAATGGCGGAAATCAGTTTATCCTTGATTTCTCTCGATTTTCCTTTGTGTGCACATGTCTCAAGTGTGTTGTATCTGATTTATCTATTTATTATCTTCTAATTCGGATTCGTGATTTCTTTAAATAAAGAACAACATGATTGAGTAGTGATTAGGGATTGTGAAAATTAGATTACAATGCCAATGTGTTGTATGACCGTAAGTTGCAATAATTTTTTATTATCGTCATGTTTTCTTTAAACACATGTTTTCATGAAAAATAACTCTCAAGCAATTTAAGACGTAAAAAATTCAAGATAAGTTAAAAATTTAAAATCTTTTCTCCTTTATTATATAGAAGGTAGCATTGATAATTTTGTCCCTACATCTTATTATTTTTGCTCATTTATATCATTTCACCTATTTTTATCACAAATTAAATTATTTAATTTAGACATTGTTAATGTACGATATTATACACATGTTGATAATTTTTTTGTAGTCATGTGTTTTGAGAAAAGTTTGTCAATTTTTTTTTTAAATTAATTGATACAAATTAATTTTAAATTATGGAATTTAAGAAAGAGAATGAAAGAAAAATTGGAATTGATTTTTTAGGCGCTTGAGTTGTATAGTGCCTCTCTTGCACAGCCGTTGCCGATGCCCAACCAGTGATGCCTCACGTGATTCCTCTCTCCCTTTTGCCTCTTCCTTTTTTCACCCATCTCCCTCCCCCTCTAGCAGCGACAACGCCGCTAATGACCAAGCGTTAGCTCAGACAACAGCGCCCAGTGCCTCCCTCATTCACTGCCAGGTAACTCTTTCACCTTCTCCCTTTCCCTGTCTCTGTGCCTCCATGTGTTAGATATAATAAAACGGCTTTTTTTGAAAACATAGAAGAACCCGAAGGACTCAATTTTGTAGGAGAACCAGGAAGGTTGTAAAACTAGGCAATGGTTCCTGAGGTAAGATTAGGTTATGGTGAAAAGGCCAGAAACTGCAAAGTCAGCAATTCTTGTAGCCATCAAAATAAGGAATTCTTGAAGCCATCGAAGGCAGCGACGCATATAAATCCCTGTTATCCTCACTTTCTCCCTCTATCTCTCTCTTACATTGGTAGCGCCCCCCATCCCTCGACAAATACATGCGACTTCAAATTCAAGAATTTCAACGTCGAATTTGGACTTCGAATTCTATATTGTCCTCAACAATCTTGACTTCGATTTTTGCTTAGGAATGTTTGTTAGGATTTGCCGCAGAACACCCTCGAACACACACACACACACACACACGGTCTGGGCATCGATATTTTCATGGGTACCGATAACTTTTTTGTATTGTGCACCCTCACAGATACACAGTTCTGTCTCTTATGGTTCTCATATTAGTTTTCTTTTGGGTGAATGTTTTAGCATTTCAATGTTTGCTAAAACATTTCGATTTAGGACTTGGAATTTAAAAAGTTTACCTTCTTTGCACTTTGAGAACAAATGTGCAGCTGTTTGGAGGACAGGGGTCTGCTTATATAATTTATTCACCATATGTAAATAGCTTGAACACTTAGATTAAAATTACAGCATCATACCAAAATAGAGGACCATGACCATGTCACTATCTATCACAGTTGGAACTCTGTGAGCTGCAGTAATCACCGTGCAATTTGAGAATTCTTCCATAGTTTTGGATCCATTCTTGTGGACAATTTTTTCGTTGAGGTTGTATGCACTTTAATATATCATACTTATTTAGCATCGAGTTCTATTTTTTTATAGTTGATTTGATATTTTTGCCTTTTTATTTTTGTTTTCTTCTCTGTTTTGCAGATTTTATTCATGTTTATAGCATTGTAGCTGTTAGTTAGGTGTATCACTCAGATCTTATTCATGTTTTTGTGTGTCGTATGCACGGACAATTCTTAGTCTATATGTATATACACACACAGAAATCAATCATCATAACAAAAATAGACTGAATTAAATGGAGTTCCATAGCAGAATACTTAATTGTTTCTCTCTAGATAGTCCCCATGATCTTAACCAACGTAATGAATCTTCTTTCGCCCAATGTACTTGTAGTAGATGAACTGGAGGATGATCTATTTATTTCTTTTGTTAAGGTTGAAACTATTGTGTACGAGGATGAAGGCCCCCTACTAGTGTTGAAACTATCGTGTTTAAGGTAAACATATTTAGCAAATTAAAAAGGATACTAAGAGATCAAGCAACACGCAGACTATTGCATCCAGCAGCCATGGCAGGTTAGCTTTTATCTTCTCCCATTCCGTGCTTCTCACCAGAATGCTGCATTGATTAACCACAGAATATGATCCACAGAATGAGAGATTATTGACAAAGTGTGTATGAGAGAGACAGAGACCTCCCGACGTAAGTGGCATTGGCAATAAGGGCGAAGATGAACATCAGAGGGTTCAAGCCCTGTAGAATCGTAGATAAAAAAAAGTGAATATTTTGAAAAAAGCTCGAACAATTCAATCTTCGTACCAACAGAACAAAAAGGTCGAAAAGGATAATACCTCCACACTCCCTCTTTTAATCTGTTCATACAATCCCATAAAAGGTCATTAATAGAAACTATACAAGGTTTGCAAATTGATTCGTTTAAGAAATGTAATACTTACGTTCAGCCAAATCTGGGGGACTCGCCCTCCCATGTATATAGCAGCCATCAACCACCCCAGCGATTGCCCATAGATGTTGCTATTATCTTCCTATATATAGTTGAATATATTTCATATCATAAAGCACAGCTAATAATACTAGGAAATCACGTAAAGTACTAAACATTAATTTATCAAACACCTGCAATAATCTCCTCCCAGTTTGATTTATGTGAACCTCCTTCAAAGAATTGCTTGGAAGAGGAAAGTTGGCAGCAGTAGCAGCCAGGAAAGTCCCATAGCCCCCCTGACAAAGCATTTCATGACACATTTAATCCGGAATATTGGAAGAATGTTCATAGACATAATATTATTTTGTTTATATTTTTTGGTTCAACGGTGAGAAGTGTTCAGGTGACTAATCTTCTTCCCGGTCCAATCAAAGACAGGTCATTCACACCAAATATAGAGTATTAGTAATAGGAATGAACTATAAACTCAGATATCATAAGTTTGAATCTTGTCAATCCCTTTAGGTCAAGTTACGAGGGATTAATAATAAGAGAGATTTTCAAATGCTTTCTCCTATCACCATACCTTTCCTGGATCTATGATTGTACAAAGATAAAAAAAACTTCCAACATGAGTTCAACCCATTCGAAACTGAACTCAACTAAACTCAACAATTACCGATGCTTGAAATTTTCAACTCCAGTTCAAATCTCAAGTTCAATTCTGAAATAAAGTTGGGAGCGATTTTGTTGGGATTATTACGTATCATATCAGATTGGGATAAGTACAGGTTGATGGCTCAAATAATACCCCTTGTTTAAACATGGGGATCATCATGCTTTGAACAAATCCCCAAGTCATCATTGGGTTGCGACACTAATGAATATTTGATGGTGGCCAAAATGAATATGCACATACGTTACTCCACATATTCGATAGGGAATATTATCCCTCAGTACCCCCCACAACTATTTAGAGGAGACCTCACCGCATTTACGTCGGGGCCGAAGTTAAGGTATCACCGCTTGCTCCAGCAGCATATAAATATTTGTCAATGGGCTTGGGGGAACTCTAGGAAATTACAGATAAAACTCACCGAACGTGAAATTCTCCAAGGCTGAGTGACAGGGTTGGTTAAGGAAGAAGGTGGAAGTGGTTCGTCTTCAGATGATGAATCAGCGTCACGCTCCAAAGCAGAAGGACCGCTTTTGGGCTTAATGTAAGATTGAAATGGTGGAGTATCACTTCCAGCCAGAGATCTTGCTGACCTGATCAACCATTGAACAAAACTAAGACAATCCATCAACATTTTCTAATATTATAATTTCTTGAATATGTGAACGTTGTTTTGTTTAGTCTCACTCTCTCACCTAAAATAGAAGTCCCTCCGACGAGGTACCTCAACAGGGGAATGTGTTGCAGCTGACTTGGGTTTCAAAGGTTTCGTTGTCTCAGCTTTAACCTGAAAAAAGACACCCTATTGTATCAAACCTCACTACCCATTATCTTTTAGACTAAGTTATTATGTAGACTTAGGATGGATTCAATCCTATGAAATCCACATGTATCAAGTCAACTAGGGCATCTCTTACGAGACTCAAAACTTTATAGTTCGAGGTAGGATGATTGAAATCTTTGTTATCTTGACACATTAGTTTTTTTGGTTATAATAATAATAATAATAAAAAAAAAAAAAAAAGCTATGAATTATAAAGACATGGTGTTACTAAAATGCTTCTACCAGATTGACTTTGATGTGTCGGCACCTCCACCATTGCAGAAAGTGATCGTAGTATAAGCACTGCAACACCAACACTACTGTAGTTGCTGCGTATAACTGCAGAGAAAAATGGCCATTAAGAGTTGGATTATGCATGAGAGTACTCTGTATAAGCGCAGGGAGCGAGGGTGAGGTGAGAGGTTTACCAATGCGGTGTAGAACTGGGTTGGCAACTGCATTATTAACCAATAAAAACTTGGGTCAGAAATTTATCTTTCCAAAATAAGGAACAATTATCAAAGTGTCACTGTTTTGTAACCGTTAATTAAAAAAT